TTTCTTTTTTTTTATTATTTATATCTTAATTGTTGTTTATTGATGATGACAGCCGCGCTCTCTCTGCACACAACAACGTAGCAGTAAATAAACCCTTAAAAAAGGGAAAAAAGAAATAATTTTTTTTCTTTTTTTAATTAATTATTTAATTATTTAATTTATTTTTTATTTATTTTATTTATTTTTGCTTTATTTCCTCTCTTTTATGCACCAGCAAGCAAGCTACCTAGTAGGGGCTGGGCTGTTCTTATACATATTGTATAGATAAATAATATATATAATATTCTTAATTATTCATCTTTCCTCCCCATTAAACCCCTTATTTAATTCGTTTTTATGAATAAAATTTATTTATTTAATTTATTTTTTATTTTAATTTAAATTTTATAATAAATTTTATAAAAAAAAGAAGAAAAAAAATCCATCAATTAATGAAATCACCGATGCTCACGAGCCCCTCATTGTCTTAGGTGACCCTCCTCCTTATTTCTTTCTTTTATTTATTTATTTATTTATTTATTTATTTATTTATTTATTTATTTATTTATTTATTTATTAATTTATTTATTTATTTATTTACTTTGTTACTATTTGTGCATCTGCTACTACCATAGACAACTTCGTACTTACGTCTCTATATTTATGCTAGTAAATAAATAAATAAATAAATAAATAAATAAATAAATAAATAAATAAATAAATAAATAAATAAATATATTAAATAAATAAATATAAATATATACTATAAATATATAAATACATAAATATATAAATATATGCATATATATGTACATATATATATTTACGTATATATTTACGTATTTATATGTATATTATTTCCTCTTTTTTTTTCTTTTATTTATTCTTTTTTATTTCCTTTTTATTTAGTCTATTTATCTATTTATATAATAAATAAATAAATAAATAAATAAGCAAAATATTTATTTATTTTATTTATTCTTCTCTTTTTTTAATAGACCCTTCTTGCTGCTGCTGCTACAGCAGCAGCAGCAGCAGCAGCAGCAGCAGCAGCATAAACATACTCTTTGTTGCATTCTGCTGCTGCTGTTGCTGCAGCAGCAGCAGCAGCAAGATAGGCAGCTTAGAAGCTTCTAGACAACAACGCAGAAATGATAAACCCTAAACCCTGAACCCTAAACCCTAAACAAGGAAGACAAACACTCTCGTCTCCTCTAGGGTTTAGGGTTTAGTGTTTTGTTTGCTGCAGCAAACAATACACTGTCCTCCTCATCAGCCCCGCATGCAGCAGCAACATGCTGCTGCATGCATGCATGCATGCATGCATGCATATTATACCTATTAATTATTTTTCCTTTATATGCACATTAATTGGATGGGGCTGCATGCAAAAAATTAATTCTTTTAATTAATTATTATTTATATTTATTATTTATATTTATTATTTATATATTTATTATTTTTTATACTTATTATTATTTATATATTTATTATTAAGGAGGTAATAACAAAGAAAAGAGGAAAAGATCTAACGACACAAAAGAAAGCCCCAAATGCATGCATGCATGCATGCATGCGCATGCATAAATGCATGCATTAATATTTTATATAAATAATGGGGCTTTCTTCTTTTCTTTTATCTCTTATTTCTTCTTTTATCTCCTTCTCTGCATGAATGCATGCATGCATGCATGCAGCAGGTATTAATTTTTCTTTTATTTAGGGTTTAGGGTTTACGTGCATGCATAAAATGAGGGTTTAGGGTTTAGCTAAAGGATTTCTTTGTCTATTAGACTGCAGCAACAGCAGCAACTGCAGATAATACTTGCTGCTGCTGCTGCTGCTGCTGCAGCAGATCAGCTGCTGCTGCTGCTGCTGCTGCTGCTGTCCTTATTAAATGCCTTTCTTTTTTTTTAGTTAGTATAATAAGAAGGAAAAAGAAGAAAAAGAATTTATTTTTTATTTAATTATTCCTTTTATTCTTTTTTTTCCCTTATTAATTGTCTCTCCTATTAATTTATTTATTTAATTTATTTAATATAATTAATTTAATTTATTTATGTGCTTGTTTATTTACTTATTTATTTATTTATTTATTTATTTATTTATTTATTTATTTATTTATTTATTTATTTATTTATATACGCCTCTACTGACCATTTGAATTTATATACATATTTATTTTATTTATTTATTTATTTATTTATATATTATACTATATTTATTTATAAAATAATATTATATATTTTGTATAAGAAGAATTGGACCCTAAAACCCTAAACCCTAAACCCTAAACCCTAAACCCTAAACCCTTACCACTCAAGACGTGACTGCATATACACCCCACGAGGGTTTAGGGTTAAGGGTTTAGGGTTTGTTATTTTTTATATATATTTAAATAATAAATAATAAAATAAATAATAAATAAATAAAATAAATAAAATAAGAATAAAAGGTAAAAAATCCTTTATTCAGGTGTATGGACACCATGGGGCCCCTAGGAGGCCCCCCTCCCCCCCCG